TATTGACCATGTACTAATTTTATTTAATAATTTATTTAATGTACTTTCAATATTTTCTATATTTTTGTTTTTATATGCAATCATGAAGTCGTCTACGTAAAGACATTTTAGCATGTCAGGTGGAATTATATTGCATAGACCGTTGATTTTCATGCAGAAAAGTGTTACAGACAGGATACTACCTTGTGCTTAACCTGTTTCCATTTTTTTATATGTAGAAAAAGTTTGATTGTATTTTATTTTAAATTCTCTATTGTTTATTAAGTTGGAAATGAATATTGGAAGTCGGCCTTTCAAGCCAGCATTATGCAGATCTCTGAGTACTCCATGTCTCCACGATTTATCATAGGCCTTTTCGACATCAAAGAAAATCGCTACCACCTGTTCATTACTTATGAGAGCTTCCCTTACAAATGTCTCCAAAGAAACCAAATGATCTAAAGTAGAGCGGTTCTTTTGTCCTCCGCATTGGAAAGGCGATATTAATTTATTTAGTTCTAAAAAGTATGTTAACCTATTATTTACAATTTTTTCAAAAGTTTTGCATATGGTGTTTGTTAAAGATATTGGTCTATAGTTGGATGGATCTTCTTTTGACTTACCGGGTTTTAATATTGGTATTATAATGGCTTTACCCCATTCTTCTGGTACAGAATAATTGCACCACGTGAAGTTAAAAGCGTCTAGGAGTGATATCAAAGATATTTGGGGTAAATTTTTTAGCATATTATATGTGATCTGATCGGGACCAGGTGCTGAATTAGTATTACTTGTTTCTATAGCGTTTTTTAATTCTGTGAGCGTTATATTTTCGTTATAATACTCTGTGTTATCAGAAGTAAAGTCTAGCGTGGTTTTTTCTTCTAATTTCATTACATTTGAAAATGTTTTATTAATATTTTTGATTAATGAATTCTCTTGAATTTGGTTGGCAAATATTTCGGCAATTTCTTCATTTGATTGGTAGATATTTTGTTTAATGTATATATTATTTGTATTGCTGTGTGTGTTTTTGTTGTTCATTTTGTTTACTACAGACCATATTTGCTTTGATGATGTTTTATTTGTTAATGAATTAACATATGTGTTCCAACTAGTACTTTTTTCGTGTCTGAATACTTTTCTAGATATGGCTTGTAGTTTTTTGTATTCTATTAAGTTTTTTATACAGGGGTTTTTTTTGAAAACATTGAATGCTTTCAATTTTGAGGATCTACTGGTTCGGCATAGATCGTTGTACCATGGGTTTATTTTAGGCCTTACTCTCATTCGGTTTATTTTAATTAATGGCGTTGTTTGTTTTATAATTTTATTGATATTTTCAGTTATGTAAGTTATAGGGTGATTTAGCATGTTTTTGTTTGTTTCTGTAGTATTTATTTTATGATTACACAATTTTTTAAATTGATCCCATTTTGTTTTTTTAAAGTTATATTGCTCATTTATTTTTTGTTTTTCCATACTACATGTTAATATTATAGGAGAGTGGTCGCTATTATGCAGATCATCTTCTCGTTTCCACTCAAAGCTACTGTAAATATTAGGTGATGAGAAGGCTAAGTCTATTGTTGACCATGAATTTGTGTGTATGTTAAAGTGTGTTGGAAGTCTAGGTTTAATTAAACATATATCGTTTTGAATAATAAATTTTTCTATTTTATTACCATTTCTATTATTTTTAAAACTACCCCATAAAATATTATGAGCATTGAAATCACCGACTATAAGAAATGGTTTAGGCAAGGTATTAATTAGGTTTTGTAATGTGCTATTATTTATATTTATATGCGGTGGGTTATAAAAGTTACATATTGTTATAGGTCGATCTAAATTGATATTAACAGCACATGCTTGAAATTCTTTGTTTATCTCTACCTGCGATTGTGATATTTTGTGGTATATATATAAGGATAATCCTCCACTGGGGTTTGTGTTGGTTGCTCTGGCAGTTAAATGATATGAAGTATAATTTTTGATTTCAATTAGTTTATTATTAGTAATTTTAGTCTCTTGAAGGCATATTATGTGAGGTTTGTATTTTTCAATTAGGATAAATAACTCTAAGTTATTACTTTTAAAACCCCTTATATTCCATTGTATAATATTAATTTTTTCTTTATTTATTAGTCATATATTTTGTTTTGTTTTGATGCTATTTCTTGAATATTGTTTATTTTTGTGTAGTTTTGTAGTGTTCATTTGTTTCATTTTTTCACTCTCATCATCACTCTCATCACTGAAATTGTAATTATAAATTTCTGATGCATCCATGCTGTTTGAATTACTTGTGAATTTATTAAGTTGCAATGAAGGTTTATTTATTGTTTGATTTGTTGTTTGATTTGATTTATTTACTGTTTCATTTGTTTTAGTTGTAGTATTTAAGTTTTTCTCTAGAGTCACATTAATGATGTTACATTGAATTCCTATACTTATCATTTTTTTATTTTTTACAATGTTAGAATATAATGGTCTGAATTCTTGAACTATTAATGATTTTGCTTGTGTGTACGATATTTGATTTTCAAATTTTTTAATTAGGATGTTTTTTTCTTGTTTGTATTTAGGACATGCTTTGTCAAATGTTGCATGTTCTTCATTACAGTGTGAGCATTTAGCTTTTTTATTACATGGTGTTTCCCAAGTATGTTTATGGCCAGTTTCTCCACATTTAGCACAAATTGTTTCTTTGCTCTTGCAAATTTTGTGATAATGACCATATTTCTGGCATTTTGTACATCTGGTTGGGGGTGGAATATATTGTTCCACTTTTATCTTTTGATAATAAAAATTTAGTTCCTTTGGAAGTTTATTATTTTGAAAAGTTATAATGTATGTATTTGTATTTATTTTTTGGTCATTTTTTGTAATTTTTATATTTAAAATATCAATAACTCCATGACATTTTAGTTCCTCCTTCATTTCTTCTATTGAGCAATTTTTAAATATAGGGGTTTTAATCACTCCTTTAACAGTGTTTAATGATTTGTGTGGGTAACATTTAACCTTTATACCTATAATAGAAGTGAGATTAAGAATTTTGTTTTTTTGAGTCTCATTTTTTATTTTTATTAAAATTTTAAAGTCCATAATTTTAATTGACTCCACATCTCCAATGCTAGAGTGTAAAAATTTGAGTATTTTGAACACAGGCATTTTTTTAAATTCTACTTCATTGCCGTTCAAAACTTCAATTACAAAAAATAAAGGTTCAGCTTTATTCATGTTTTCATTTGAGCCTTCTTCGCTGTCTGTAAGACAGTCTATCTGTTTCTTTTTCCCCCCCGGCATCCTTAGCTCAACTTCTAACCTACCGTTCACTAAAAACACCTCTAGGTATCTCTAGTTCCAGTTATCAATTCTCTTCTTTTTTTGGCAAATTAACAAAACAATAATTAAACAGAATAAATAAATAAAAATTTACGAAATTTAAAGCAAAAATAAACGGTTAATTTATCGACACAATAAACATTAATTACGATAATTAGCGAAAAGATGTTTACGGCGCCATTTCTAAACCCTTTTTTCGGAGATTATTTAAGCACAGCCTAAACTGTACAAAAAGTTGCTGAAGAAAGAACTTAAGGTCAAGTGCACAACAGTAGTTTGTCATTTAAAACGAATTGGTAAGGTATAATAACTTGATAAATAGATGCCGCACCCGCACGTGTTGATTTAAATTCGGAACCTTCACCGTTTTGAGATGTCAGATAAAATTATTTTGTGCAACAAACAATTCGTTTCTAGAACAAATTGTGACCTGTGATGAATATTTAGTCTTATGTGACAACATAAACAAACAACGTTCAGCTCAGTGACCGAACCAAAATGTGAGCCCAAAACACTTTTCAAAATTGTACAAGAGGAGGCTGGTCTGCAGTCGGATTATTTCATCAAAGTCTATTAAAACCTGGTCAAGCAATTAATTGAAGATGTGCTGCCAAGTTGAGATGTATCGAAAATTAAGCTAGCTACACCCATTATTGGTTAAACGAGTGTCTTATCTGTCTCCCCTGTAACGCCAAACCGCACGTTGCACAAAAGACATTAAAAAACCTGAATGCGCTGAGTGTACGAAATTCTTCTTTGCCCAACAAACTTACCAGACCTCTCACTAACAATTTATCATTTTTTCAAACTTCTCGTTTTCAATTCTTCGTTTCCAGAACCGCTACTTATGCTACTTACTAACTGCCGTCAATGAATATATGTATTTCTTGTTGGCGGATAAGCGTAGATTGCAATGGTTTTTATTTCAATTGGATAGAAGCTTAGAAGCTTATTTTGGCACCAACGTTATAACAGTCTTTGCAGCTGCACAGTTAAAAATTGTTATTCCTAATTTGATGTATATATATATAATATATATATATAATTATATATAATATACTATATATATATATATGACATATATTATATTATATAAAGGGGCGGCGTAGTGGTTAAAGGCGCCTGATCCGCAGTAACCAGCCTCTAATACAAAGAGATCCCCGCCTATCCTGTGCAAATGTTTTCACGCATATTTATTGTTTGTCGTTGATATCTCTGAGGCAAATGCACAAGAGAGAATGACATTTAACTTTTTTAATTGTATCATAAACTCTTGTTTTAAACGGTCAAATAATTTTTTATAAAATCGAAAGGAGCTTCTTAGTAAGCTTGTTAGTATGGTCAGATCCACAAAATTTAAAAATTAAATGAGCAAGTGTGAGTTTATTTATTTTTACTAAAAACGTGATGGAAAAATTAAAAATTCAATGAAAAATATTTGGATAAAATTTAATAAATAGAGTCCATACACATAGAACTAGATAGAGACTCAATCAAAAAATTTCTTTGTAATATAAACATGCATGCGAGTAACAAAAGTGATAATGGAATCTGGATCAATGAGTTCGGTGACTACGTCAAAACTAATGTCTTGAGGCTCGTTTATTTTTTTAACTATTTCTATTATCAGAACAGATTTTCCCTGTTTAAACATGAAATATTATAAGCATTTATACGAATCTTAAGTCATTATGAATATTGAATATGGTTACCTGAAAATAGCTTTTGGTTAACTGAAAATAATTTTTATCCACACTGCCCAAGTAAGGTTTTTGAATGGACGATTTAAAGTTGGTTAACTTGGATTGAAACAAATTGGCAGAATCTTGAGGCATCGTAAGTTGTGTAATAGCGTATGGAATCGGTATATCAGTGCTGAATGACAAAAAAAAATATTGAATGACGAAAGGGCTGGACAAGCAACGACTGTCACCGCGATTGCATGTCTTCTTATTACACTCCACCAGCACGCTAAAATTATGTCATTTATATTTTAAATACTTGTAAGGAACTGGTATAATAATAATAATATCAAAATTTCATAATAAAATATCATTAAATGATATTATCAACACTCTAAAATTTTACTACTCTTTCATCCCGACTAACTTTGTTGAATCCTCTTTGACATTTCGGTTGTAAAATGAACCACAGTCTGTTTCTTCGCATTTAAAACTTCCTTTCAGATTGATGCAAATCTTGTTATTGTCGCAAGGTTTGACGGCTTTATTACACTCATCTATATCTGAAAACACATTGTTAAACATCAACTGTAATGATCATCGTAATAATTTAATTAAATAAATTCAATTAAATTACAATTAAAACACGACTAAAATACATTTTTCGGTAAACAGTAGAAACGCCTGAATGTAAGAAACAAATACTAGTCATTCATTGTAATGTGTAAAAATAAAAGATAATTAGCATTGCAGAATTAATTATATATAAGCAGAATTATAAAATTCAAGCACTTCCGAAACGAGCAGAGAGCATCACTCAACTTTTAAAAGTTATAATCATTAAAATAACTTCATAATTATTGTAAGAAATTCATATTAAAATCATAATAATACAAATTGTTATCAAGTTAAATTTTGTTTTCAATTGAAATGATTTACTGACCAACGCATTTAAAATTTGATGTCATATGGTAGCCAGGCGGACAGCTGCAGTTGAATGATCCAACCTCGTTAGTGCAGTTATATCGGCACGCCTCCTTCCCCTTCATGAGAGAATAGATTTTACACTCATCAAGGTCTGAAAATAATTAAAAGTAAAAATGTTAGACGTTTAAAATAAGAAATAATAAATGCTTAATTGTTCAACTAATTATTTTAAAAACAAGGTTCATTTCAAATCTGAAATTCCAAGTTCAAAATGGAACTGGCGTTAATTTTAGTTAAACTAACAGAGTAACTCTAACAAGAAATATCAACGATAATCCACAGCAAAATAATCAGTAAAAAATAATAGCATAAATTTTATGATATGGATTCATCGGTTGATAAAAATGAGTAGCTGCTTCAAACAAATATGAAATTAATTTGGATTAGTCAATTGACTTCAGTTGAGTGAAACCATAAAATTAATTATTTGTGAATTTAACAATGATTGACGCGCAACGATGATAATCTTATACTTGATAACAGCCTAAATTTTAACTTTAATACAATCGTAAAAAGTCTCAGTTTTCCTTTTATCAAACTGAATTAAACATTCGTCGTGGTGATAGGTGACACTTATCGTTTACCCTCTTTTTTGCCTCGTCGTCTTTTAAACTAAAATTCTATGCTGATGCCATTTGATGTATCAATGTCATGGATTTCTCACAAATTGTTATCCAAGTTTATTTTTAAATGGTTGAATTGAACCGGTGAGCGCAGCTAAAACCATGTCAACAGATACTCCTTGAGCGGCATTTTGGGAAGTGGATGCAACGTGTAAAATTTTATGTTTATTATTTGATTAGTTTTCTTTTTTAAATATAGATTTCATTGACTTAGTGGTTGTAAACTGAATTATTGTTAAATGAAATTACGTCTGCTCTATCATTCTCTTTCTTCTTTACACTGCTGATGTTTTCAAAATAATTGAATCATTAGATATTACGTTACTCAGGCGACATTCGAACCATTGCCAGCAGTTCAGTCACGATGATTCACATTATGATGAATAACTTTGCATCGTGTCAGAATGAAGTTTATACGCGGATAAATACATGCAAAAAATACATGCAAAACTCAACTTATGAAAGTTGGCAAATGACTACAACTTATGAAAGTTGGCAAATGACTACAATTGTTAAAAGTGGCTATTAATTCAATAAACATTGATGGCAATTCAGTCGAGTTTTGAACTTCGGCGCGGAACTGGGATGTCATAGAATAATAGAATAAGAGTGTTTTGCTAAACCTGGTGCATGTTTTCGTACACTCAAAACTCAACTACTGGGATGCTTTGTTCCATGAAATATCAAACAGATTGATTGCCCAACTGCAATTCATTAAAATCGAGCCGCAAAATTTTTACGCGATCTACATTGGCTGACAATAAACGAAAAAGCACTTTCAAAAGTATGGTATCGTATTCCAATTATTCAACAGTTTAGCTCAAAAATATTTTCAAGAATGATATTCTCCAGAGATAAGCCAAAGCAATGAGCCAACTTACGTTCCAATAATTTGATTCTACTCGTAGCACCTTTTGCCTACATAAATATCTGGTTTAGAACTAGGAACTTTAGTCATCAGTTTTGAAGAGCTTGCCAAAAGATCTACCTGAACCCGGCCTTCCTTTCTCAAAGTTTTGCAGATGATTAAAATCTCACTCTCTTCGGAAAATTATTGAATTGTACAACAGGCGTTTTATAATAATAATAATAATAATAAATAATATTAGTAGTGGTAGTAGCAATAAGAGGTTGAAATATAATATTTCACACCAAATTATGAACATAATTGTTTTGAATTATTTCAGTGTTTCATCACTAAATAAATCATACAATGCTACTTTGCCAGAAAGTGTTATTTCAAACTGACATTTTTTAGGTATAAACAATAAAACGACATCAAATATAAAATATGTTGAACCTTGGCAAGATCTATTATCTGCGGCCAGTTTATAGCCTGGTTTACATGAGCATCTAAACGATCCCCAGACGTTCGTGCATATGTGCTGACATGTTTCTTTCCTGGCACACTCGTTGTCATCTGTTGAATTATTAATTTTTATTATTTATTATTAATTTTATTTTATATAATTTATAATGCAGCTGTCAAACGCAGAACTGCTTATTTGTTTTAGTTTCTCAGATTTTGTTTAAAATATTGCACTGTCTCTTTTTTCTGAGATAATCGCTTTTTTATTTTTAAAAAAGCGATTCTAACTACTTCTAACTACTTAGAAGTAGTTAGAAAAAAAGGTAGAGAGTTTCAGAAAAAAGGACCAGAAAAAGCAAATGCAGATTTAGCAGCAAATGAAGTTAAGAAGTGAGAACGAAAAAACGATCGGGGCGTTTAAATTTAAATAATATATCTGATAAGTACTTAGGAAATAATTCAAATAGGGACTTGTACATTATTTTGCAAATTTAAAAAAATGTTCTATATGTTATAGGTAGCCAGTGCAAGAAAACAAGATATGGAGATATATAAGAAAAGAAAGGTGCTCCAAAATCTTTTAACTCGGCTGCCAAAGATCTGTTGCCAGATTGAATTGAATTTTTGTGATAAAACAATGGTATTTATTTTTCGCATTTTTATCAATAATAATCTTACTATCAGAATTTGCAAAATAAAAAAAAAACTTGCTTGGACTTCATTCAAACATTGTTCTATACTTTTTATTGTTGATCTTTAATGACGGTTAACTTATTCTTGCATGTGGGCGGAGTTAGTGCCTATTGATCAATCTTTTAATATTACTGATTCTTGTCTATCTTCGATTTACTTCTTATCTCAGCAATCGTTTTTTTTTGTTGTTCTTAATAATTCTACTTCTAACTCCTCTATTTTTACTTTTGGGGTACCTCAGAGTTCTATCCTTGGCCTTTTTCTATTTATACTCTATACTTCTGAACTACCTCGTTTTATCAAAAATTTTTCTTGCATTAGTCAACTATATGCTGATGATTCTTATATCTATACTTTTTTCCTCTATCTAATCTCAATAGTGTTCTTCATAATCTATCTCTATCTCTTTCTTCAATTATTGCACTGTCAGACTCTATGTGTCTTAAACTTAACCCTTCTAAATTTGAATTTGTTTTAATAAATTTAAACACTCTTTTACTATTCCTCCGATTATCTTACCTGTATCTAAAACTATTAACGTATCGCACAAGTTTCGTAGTCTAGGCTTTATCTTTGATTCTAGCATGTCTCATTCTTCTCAGATTAATAGTGTTGCTAGAAGTTCTTACTTTCAATCTACGTAGAAGAAAAAAAACTTTTGCGTCTTATTGATGATCCTACTTTTCTCCTTCTTGTTACTTCTTTAGTTTTATCTATATAGACCATAGTAGAGCGAGTTACATTAATCAATTATTAATGTAACTCGCTCTACTATGGTCTTCCTAATTCTACAGGCTATCCTTTAAGTAAAGGTTTCTTTTTTCATATCTCCATATCTTGTTCTCTTGCACTGGCTACCTATAAAATATAGAATAATTTTTTTTTATATTTGAACATTTATGTAAAAGTCTCAATCTAAATTATTTACTAAGTACTTATCAGATATATTAATTGAACCTAAACGCCCCGGTTACGATCGTCTTCTTGTTCTCACTTCTTTTTAACTTGTGCTAAAGACTCTTTTGCTAAATCTGCATTTGCTTTTTCTGACCCTTCTCTCTAGAACTCTCTACCTACTTCTCTGTCTACTTCTTCATCACTTACAAAGTTCAGAGCGGATCTAAAGACCAATCTGCTACAAAATTCATTGAGAGCGCAGTTGATCATTGCGGACATAGTGCTTTATAAACTAATTGATTGATTGATTGATTGATATTGATCAATCAATTGATCTTTTTAGTGACTGATTCGCACAATTTCTCTAATCATTCTGCCATTTTCCTGTTGATCTGAATGATTTGTTGTTGGAACGTAAGCTACTACAAAATATACTATATTCAACATAACATAAAAATATAAAGATACACTACTATTTCTTTTGTTTTTTATATATTTGTATTATCTTATCTTGAAATTGTTGAACTGCACATCCCTAATCTAAGCATACGTAATACAAAATAAATGAAAACGTGTTCGGCAATGCAATTAGACAAAGAGAAGTTCGATCGTAAAATGTCGCAAGAAGAAGGGCTGTTGTCTTTGTGTTGAAGCTATATATAGTAATTCGTCACATGCTTAGATTAGGGATGTGCGGTTCAACAAAATCATGGAACTACAAACTAAAAATTGAACTATATCACTTAGGGGCGGACCTAGGCAAAGGCAAGTTTAATGGGAGAGGGGAGCAAGTTTTTAAAAACGTTTAAATGTTGAAATTGGACGGGAGGCCAAGAAACTAAGCATATTTAAACAAGTTTGGCTAAAATTACGCTGACAACTTTTTATATTGTTTTTGATTATCGAGTCAATTTTTGATCCATTTTCATTTTCTACTCTAAACGGTGTTTCTTTGTGTAAAAAAAAGTACTGCTCAGAAGGGAGCAGCCATGCTCCCCACCTCTTTCTCTCTCTCTCTCTCTCTCTCTAGATTTGCCACTGATATCACGTAAACCTGACGTTGACCTGCAAATATTGGCATTATTATATATTAACCCACATTCAATGGTCATCATCCGTCTTTCAATGATTCCCTCTATAAAATGTAATAAATGTGTGACGTTAATGTCGCTATTGCTCTTATGCAAGACTTGCAATGAAAAAAATAAAATAGGACAGACATCTTCAATCTAAAATTCCATGTTTAAAAGCATAATTTTAATTTTTAGACAAAATTTTTTTAATGTTTTTTAAAACCTTATCCAAAATTTAATAAAATATGAAGGGTATTTTTACTAGTATTGCCATATCGCGTTCTTTACATTATAACCTTTACTGAATGCGAAAACAGCACAGACATCACGCAACCATTCTAATTGATGCTGATTTATTCACCGAACAACTTGAATTTGCTTGATCAGGAAAAACCGACAGAATTTAATGAATTTGAATTTGCTTGATCAGGAAAAACCGACAGAATTTAATGATTCAAACGGTTCTAGAGCTATGTTTCAATTCATTTTAGCAGTTTTGCAATTATTTCGTGTAATATGACAAAAATAAGTAACTATCTTTTAAAATAAAACATTAAAATTTATTTGGCAAACTATTTATGTAATGTTAATTATAAATTAATTGAATTGCCAATTAATTCAACTTTCTTAATTATTATTAATTAATTTTAATATAATTGAACAACCTTTATTATTAACCAATACCAAGTTAATTCAGTGACTTTAGTCATTATAAGCAAGTTGGTTGAGTAACCTTTGCATTCATTGCCTTCCAGCCTGAATCCATCTCGACAAACACATCTGTACGAACCAAACGTGTTTTCGCAAGTTGTATGAGCTGAACAGGCGCTTATTTTCTGAGTACACTCGTTAATATCTTGATTAAAAAAATTAATATTCAAATAAGACTTATTGTTATGAAAATATGTTTAACTAAGCTTACCAACGCATTCTCTTAATACTTTATTTGTTTCAGTCCCACTTGGGCAGTAGCAAATATAACTTCCAATGGTGTTGTTGCAGAGCATATTTTTATATGTACAACTATGCAAACTTGTCCCACACTCGTTAATGTCTGCACGTTACGTTAAAAATGTAAGTCCACTTAGATAAGCTGTTTCCATTTTCAAATTTTCATATATTATATCTTACCAAGGCAGCCATTTTTTGTTTCATTCAGGAAAAATCCAGCAGGACAGACCATTTCATCAACACACTTATAAGATCCATAAGTATTTTTGCATACTTTTTTCTGTGGACATATTTGAGGAATTTTCAAGCACTCGTCAACGTCTTCACAAATAAAAAGTAAAATTGAGCATGAAAATGATTTTGAAAAACTGAGCATAAAAAATAAATTTTATACAGGTTCGAACATTAAGACATTTAAAACGTACCGATACATTCATCTTTGTTGTTTAATTCCATACCTTTGCGGCATACTATAGGTTCACAAACTTGAAATATTTCTGAAAATTTGTGACCTTTGGCGCAATCTGTTGTCAGACATCTGAACGAACCGGCTATATTTTTACACGTTCTCGACTTTCCACAGTTATGAATATTTAACACGCATTCATCAATGTCTGTAAATTGAAATCAATAAATAATTTAGAACATTATCTTCGTTTTATAAAAAATGTTTCAACAAAATTAACCTTCACATTCATCAGTAACAGTGTTGAGTTTATAGCCAGTGCCACACTCCCTTGCTCTTTTGCAGGTGTAGGAACCGTGAGTGTTGATGCATTTCATTCCCATGGGGCAGTTCTCCAACGCAGTCATGCATTCATTGAAATCTGGCGCGTTCAATAAAATGTTAGAAAGTTAACCAGCAGAACGAAGTAATCAAATAAATATTGTCATAATTGTATTAAGCGATAATAATTGTAGAAATTAAATTTAAATTATCAACAATCGCTGCCAGAGTTCTCTTGTTCGGCGCTGCAAAAAGTGTTAAGGGCTGCATGATAAAAGTGTATTTGGTATTGACGCAATGCGTCAATGCAGAGATATATAAACGCCAGCTTGATAGAACGGGCGATTATTATTATACCGCTGTGACAGAAATAGACGATTGATACTGTTAGTTGTAATTACATTTGTTATATTAAAAGGTTAACGTCAGTGGTTGGTAATGGAGGCCGCTGTTGGGGCTTTGTAATAAGAACGAGGTTATTACGTTGGTGGTTGGTTTCAGTCCACAGTTGGTGATACATCGGTGGTAACAACGGTAGAACAACTTCGTCGTCAACCAGTAGCTTCAGTTAACGCGTAACAAAAACAACTTCGTCGTCAAAAAGAATTTTTTGAAGAGTTAATATTTCATCAAATTTTATTCAATATTGTCGTAAAGAGTTGTTTTATTTTGTTTGTTACTTGGAACTGTTAAAATAAAATATTCATAAACTGTCCTCCGGTTGCACGCGTTTGTGTATTAAATTGATAAGATCTTAAAGATATTTAAGAACCTCGATAATCGCATTTCATTCGGACTGTTTTTGCTCCAAATAATATAAAAAAACAACTGGAAACGATATTAATGCCGTGACTCATCTAGTAGTTATATATATATATGGTTGGGAAGCATATATGGGCTGAACCTATTTTCGTTATTCTTGGTTTATTTCATTTGTCTTTGTATGACTGTCTCCGATAACGTTTACGACATTTAAAAATTATTTTTAAAAATTAATTATGAACAACTAAAAGTAGATTATGTTGTAGATTTAAGTTAATGTTAAAAAGATAAAACTCTATTACATTCTTCTAAACTTTAGAGATTTCAACGAGATGATTGAAATGAACTGTTCATGAACAGCTCATTTCAATCAAAATTTTATAAATTGAAATGTTTAAAAATAATGTCAATATAACACTGCAATAAAATTACAAAAGTTGTATAGATATGCAATTTGAAGACAGTGCAGGCCATGAAACTATGCAAACCATCCAAACCGAGCAAACAATGCAAACCATCCAAACCGAGCAACAGACGGATGTTAATACAAACCTTCGCATTTTTTCGTCACGTTGTTAAAATAGAAGCCAAGACTGCATGAACTGTTTTGGAGTTTAACGCACAGATAACTGCCTTTTGTGTTGGTGCATATCTCGTTATCTCTACACTTTCGACCTTCTAGGCATTCATTGATATCTTCAATAAATTTTAGTTTGAATAAGTATTTCACTGTGATTTTTTATTTAAAAAAATTAATTTCAATTTAGTATACAATTTTCAATTAATTCTGGTTATTTCATTTAACAATAAATTATATAAACTAATGAAAAAAATTTTGTTCACCATTATACTTAAAAATTATTTATCTTCTATCAAGCATGCATGGTATCGATTATTATTTTCCGGGAAGTCACAGAAATGTTTGAAAGCACCCTCAAAAATTCTTTTCTATTTGATCTCTATCTTAACTAAATTTTAATTAAGCGTGGTGATTTATCCATCAATAGCATCACAAATTTTAGGCTATTCCTTTCCTCTGAAGAATGCTTTTCTTCTTCTCTCACATTGGCTATGATAATTTAAAATATTGGTCTACTTATCACATCGCATAATTCATCCATCAGAGACAATACTTAAGGTCGCAAACTTTTTATAAATTAAGTTATTGTTCATGCTAAAAATTTAAGTAATGAGAACAATTGGCAGCCTCCATTAATAATTAGCTCTTCTACTTCTTCGTTGCTCCAGCACCTCCACAGCTGTAAATCCGGCTCTGGTTATAAAACTAATTAGCCAAATGATACAAAAGGTAAATTACAAGTTTATGAATTGACAAAAAGTACATTTTTAAAAACTGAGGAAATATGATGAAGCAGAGTTAATGCATGCATTTACCTTCACAAGACAATCTTGAGTCATTATAGGTGAATCCAGTTCCACATAAATGCTCTTTGTTTCTTGCTTCACACCTGTAGCTGCCGTTCAACTTTATGCATTTTTCATTTTTTTTGCAAATGTTTTCTTGTTGACATTCATCTTTTTCTTTACAATGGTGGTTATCAATTAAATCAAGTTGTTACTTTTCATATTTCACATAATAGAACTGAATCAACATTAAACTTCAACAAAAGTTATTATAAAAATATATATGTATTATGAAACAAAACTTTATTATTATTTAATTATGTTATTAATCATGAAACTAACAATAATAACAATATTGAATAGTAATAATAATTACGATATTATACTGCAATAATAATACTAATTGTAATAATAATAATAATAAAATAATTTAATAATAATAATAGTAGTAATAATAAGCACCAGCACCGTTTGATATCCTTGTTTTTCTGTCGTAGCGCTGGGTCGGTAATAAGCATCTGCGTTTTACAAGTAATTCAAAACGAGACAATACGAGACACGATAAGAAACGCGCAAAAATAACGAGATATAACGATAGGATAACGATACGAGACCGAGATCTCGAATCAAATTTTAAAAAATAAACACTTTTTTCAAGTCTCAATGATGAAATTGCTTCAATAAATTATAAAAAATAGCAAAAAAAAATCATCATTGATGTGCCTTGTCTGCGTTCTGTAGTTGTGGCAATTAATCATCTTCTTCATTAGATCCATTTTTTACATTCTAAAGAATCCATTTTTTTATTATCACTTTGTCATGGTTTAATTTGGCGAAAAAAAGTTTATCTACATTTTCTGGTTGTGTTTTCGTACTTTTATCAGTGACGACCTGTCCACCAGCTGAAAAAGTCCTTTCAGATGTTGCTGAACTGGCTGGACAATGCCACTTTCTCGCACTTTCTGCCAAAAGCGGAAACTTCTTTTGGTTTGTTTTCCACCAAGTAAGGCATGATTCACTAATTATACCATTTGTATTTTTTGAAAGAGCCGCATATGCCTCCTACTCCTCTTCTATATTTGATTATGTCGGTGCTGGTGTACCAATTTGGCACTCTTCAGATGTCATTGTTTGTAGAAGAGGATCATCGATGTCATCAATGTTCACACTAGCGTCTAAAGGTTGATTGGGTCCAAACATTTGATTTAATCTTACTTACTGTCATGATTAATAAGCATGTTCAGGGCCCATTTTCAAACCAAAACCTCTGTATTTTGGGTTTAATAAATTACCTATGGCATAATGCGGTACCTGCGATCCATATTCTGAAAAACGAATACTTAAATAAGTTTTTAGCATCTGAAAAAAACATTTTTGCAGGGGCAGATAATTCGGACTGAATACCTTTGTCCAACCAAGAATGCATGAAATAAATGCGAGCAGTGACACAATCAATCTTCGTTTTGCGTCCAGAGACCCGGTTCCCTGAGGTAGGACGTTGTTTTCTTTGCCATCAACTTTTTGCGCCAAATTAGACAATCAGTTTGACATGACCAAACCACCGCAGACGGTGTTGCCGGCATTCGTCCTTCAGACTAATTCGTTGCATCCATCGGAGCATTTTTATGTCGGTTCGTTGAAGTTGTTGTTCCAGTTTGGTTGCCATTGGCCATGTTTCTGTACCATATACATAGCAATAACACAGTGGACTGTTACATCTTGGTCGATGGAAAATAATTCTGACGTGGTGTTAAACCGTTTTAGTATATCTATAATTTCTTCAATAAGGTTGAATTCATCCTTACTTGGAACAACTTCATAGAATTTAGCTGGATTATACCTGGAATTCTGAGTAAAATTTTCCAAAGGTCGGCGCATTTTCAGTACACTTTCTATCATAAAGTACACGGAATTCCACATTGTAGCTACTGGAGTAATAAATTTTACAAATGAAAGATCTGCAACATCATTGTTAGTAGCGTCATCTTTTAGTGCTTTAATTTCATTTTTAATAGAGATGATAACTGGCTGGTTTTAATGACAACGAGTGGCCAATCTTGAACAACGCAAAGTAATTTTTTTTGAGAACTTAAAATAACGAGACAAGACGCAACTTTTGTCTCGTATCGTTATTATTGAAACGAAATTTTTTAAAAGTCGTCTCGTTTCAATAACACTTCGAGATTTTCTCGTATAACGAGACAAACGATACGAGACGCAGATGCTTAGTCGGTAAGCACAATATTAGTTAAATTGTTATAAAAACGTGTTCTCCTTATTTTATTTCTTTGTTTTATAAATGGCCCATTTTAGGCATGGCCATAATGATGTCTACCTCTTTTTATAAGTGTTCCATTTTCTATAACTCCATTAAAATTAATTCATTTTAATTAGTTGAAAAACCATTTGTTGCTTGATTTGCTTTTAAAAGTTGATAGTGCGAAACTGTATTAATAAAACCAGTTGCGTTTGAACACACACACACGCACTTGCGTTTGAACACACACACACACACGCACTTGCGTTTGAACACACACACACGCACTTGCGTTTGAACACACACACACACACATACACACGCACGAACACAGAAACACACCCATATATACATCATATATATATATGATATATATGTATATATATATACATATATAGGAAATCAGTCATATATAACATTGATCAACCGACAATGCTGTGCTTTTATTGAGAATATGCGTTTATAATAAAAAATTTAAAATTTTTAAAGTTTTAAATTTCTATTGAATCTCTTAACATTTAATTATTATCAATTATTTGAATTTTAGTAAACTGATTTCTTAAGCGAATGTTATTTTTTAGAAAAAACAGCGTAAAATTAAGCATAATATCTTATTTAACATTTTTATGTTAAAAAAATCAAATACCTATTTGTTTGCAATTTTTGTTGTCACTAAGTAGTTCGAATCCCTCTCTGCACCTGCATTTAAAACTTCCCGGAACATTTTCGCATATGTGAGAACAAAGTTTCTCTGGATAAGCTCCACAAAAATTTTCTGTTTGGATTGATTGTAAATATTTAACTCCAGGTTCACTGATAATAATTACGCTATATGGCTATGTGGTAATTAGATGCATATGTACAGTAAAATATTCGTTCTTATTCATTATAAATCTATCCAACAATGACATACTGTTAAGCTTAACTGCAAAATAGAAGCCCAAAGAGTCTTAAATATTGTCGACAATTATAGTCGGTAAGCACAATATTAGTTGAATTGTTATAAAAACGTGTTCTCCTTATTTTATTTTTTTGTTTTATAAATGGCCCATTTTAGGCATGGCCATAATGATGTCTACCTCTTTTTATAAGTGTTCAATTTTCTATAACTCCATTAAAATTTAATTCATTTTAATTAGTTGAAAAACCATTTGTTGCTTGATTTGCTTTTAAAAGTTGATAGTGCAAAACTGTATTAATAAAACCAGTTGCGTTTGAACACATACACACACGCACGTGCATTTGAACACACACACACACGCACGAACACACACACACACTCATATATATATCATATATATATATATGATATTAATGTATATATATATACATATATAGGAAATCAGTCATATATAACATTGATCAGCCGACAGTACTGTGCTTTTATTGAGAATATGCGTTTATAATAAAAAATTTATAAGTTTTAAATTTCTATTGAATCTCTTAACATTTAATTATTATCAATTATTTGAATTTTAGTTAACTGATTTCTTAAGCGAATGTTATTTTTTAGAAAAACCAGCGTAAAATTAAGCATAATATCTTATTTAACATTTTTATGTTAAAAAAATCAAATACCTATTTGTTTGCAATTTTTGTTGTCACTAAGTAGTTCGAATCCCTCTCTGCACCTGCACTTGAAACTTCCCGGAACATTTTCGCATATGTGAGAACAAAGTTTCTCTGGATAAGCTCCGCAAAAATTTTCTGTTTGGATTGATTGTAAATAAATATTTAACTCCAGGTTCACTGATAATAATTACGCTATATGGCTATGTGGTAATGCATGTGTACAGTGAAATATTCGTTCTTTTTCATTATAAATCTATCCAACAATTACTTACTGTTAAGCTTAACTGCAAAATAGAAGCCCAAAGAGTCTTAAATATTGTCGATAATTATAAAGATCCACAAGCATTTTTTTTATCAAGAAATTAAATTAAGTTATACTTATAGTAAATATACAGAAAATTTAAGAAAAATTCTGTTCCGAACAGATTTACTTGATGTTTTGCAAGAAAAATGTTACCTGCAAAAGGTTTGGTGACTTGTTGGACCAACTTGTACTTTTTAGTTGTCGGCTGATGATGAGTACCGCAACAAAATGTTAATTTGGATTGGCATCTTTGATCAATTGATTTCACTTGTATGCCGCAAGGAAGATTTAGTTTGGATATTGTAATTCCAAGATTGCAGCAATGGCAACATTCCTTTAGAAAACATGAAAAAAATTAATTATATTGGCCATCTAGTTCCGTCTTGCAACAAATAACACTGTATGATGAGGTTTGAAAGGTAAATTTTTTCACCTCAAAATATTACACATATGAATATGCTTTTTAATTATCCAGCAATCAAGTCAAATGTCATACCAAGTTTACAACTGACATGTCAAATAAGATGAGAAAAAATATTTAACCAAGGCATCTTACTAGCCGCAGATCGTAAGATTAAAATTTGAAATGTAATTAACATCCAATTACTAATGACTTTCGCAAATTAAAATAAAACTGTTTATGATTTGGTTTTATTAAGGCATGTCAACATCATTTCTTTCATATTTGCAATAAAAATACTAACATTTAGAAAATTTATATTTTAGTTTTTGTATATATACTTGAGTGAGACATCAGTACTTATGTTTATACTCAAAGAAAAGTACCTTCAGTAATTACAAGTGTATAATTAGAACAAATTTAATAAAATATATACTTTCGAGCGGGGTATCAATGATAGCTTAATGAAACATACACGTGGGGGCAATATAAGATTTCTCCTTATACGATTCTGATAGGTATTCGGGAGACTGAAAACCCGGTAGGGACGAAACATATATCCAGCCTGTCCAAACGAATACTATTCTTTTTTTCTTTTCACTCCTGCGCACTGCTCTTTATGGTTTGGTGTACTCTTACATTTGCGCAATCGCAACACTATGTATATGAGTTCTTGCATTATAACAAGCATTAAGAGGCGGTATATCAATGACAACTTCTGACTCTTTAATGGCACATACTACATAATATGCTAATTTTACCCGTTAGCAGCACGTATGCTAACTACCCTTTAAAACCCTCGGTGATGCTTTCTCCTTATAGGCCTTTACAAAAAACTCAAAATTTATACTTCCGCCATCATCTTAAAGATGAAAAAAGATGCAAAATTAAATGTCGATATTAAAAACCTTAAATAAATGATTATTTCTAAAAAAAGATTTTTAAACTTGCAAATACGATCGAAAATCAAATTGATTAATTGTTTCATTCACATTATATAAATAAATAATAAATATAAATATTTTGTGTTTTAATATATTCCAATCAGCCGTCCACTGAAAAAGTTGTTTTGTTGAGTGTTCAACAAATTGATTTAAATTGTAAATTCTCGAAGATATCAAATCTGAGCTTTATATTTTCCTGTTTTTTTGGTTTTCAAAAGCCGGAAATACCACAAACTCCAACTCACATCCCACTAAAATAATATGCAAAAGATAACAAACATAACTTTATAATTCTCGGTAAGTACTACATTAGAAGTGGGAATGTTTCCTAAACAATAAAATATGCAAAACCAATATTTAAAAAAATTATCTATTAATGGTCCGTTTTGACCTTCAAGACACTTGACAAGCTCAACTAAGCCCTGATAGATTAGAATTTGGAATAGCTTAGGCATTTCGGTACGTCTAAACTAAATTTTATTTTATCAAAATGTTATATATTTTTTTTGATCACAGTACTAATTTTGATATTGAATTAACCCATAAAAATGTTTTACTATTTTATCTACCACCACCAACACCAGTGTTAAGACTGTTTGAATTTTTGACTGTCAGTGTTGAACAATTATCCAGACTTTTTTTTAAAAGCTTCAAAGTGTACATGTTAAATGAAATGAGGATTTTAGTTTTATCATTCAAATATTTTTTTCGTTTATTAGTGTTGGAATTCGTGCCTCTTAAACAAAAATCTCACTGTTAATTCTACTTTATATTTTTGTGGTCATTCACTCGATTTTTTAACGGTGACTTCATGGAGCAGCTTTATAATTGTCCATATAAAATTAATTACTGACAGTCAAGATTTAAACAAAGCCTTAACATTGGTGTCGGTGGTGGTAGATAAAATAGTAAATCATTTCTATGGACTAATTGAATATCAAAATTAGTGAGACATACAGATAATATGCTAATGGTGTTATTAGAATACACAATAATTTATTGAGGATAACAAATGCTAATTATTTTCTTGAAAACTTATTATCGTTAAATCAAAAATTATGTAAACCTGCAATCTAATCAGTTTGGTCGAAAAAGAAAACATTTTTGTCGTTACTTATAGAAATCTGTTTCTAAAATACTCATTTTTTGTTTTTATTAATAAGATAATAATCCAAAAAATAAAAAGTTTTAATTCAAAAGTTCACCTACTTAGCATACAAAAAATTTTAATTTTCATTAAATACAACAATAAAAAAGTGCGAAAGTTGTTATTTATAAATATTTATTAAAAGAGAATATAACTAACATTATTTTCCCGTTTAATAAATTGTCCTTAAAAATTGCGTTTTCATTCTTGTGAAAACATTCAGAAATCCTTAAAATTTAAAAAGTTGTAACAAAAATAGAAAAAAATGTATGTTTCATTTATTTCCACTATTTATATGTTTATCTATTTTTATTTGTTATAATCTATTCACTTATTAATTTTTATTTATTAGGCTGCTGCTATAAGTATTATCACCGTTCTTATTACAAAATTTTATTATAAACATTTAAATTTACCAAGTTGGTTTCAGCGCTGTTACATTTTTGAAACTGCGCTAAACTGATTGATTGATTGATCGAATCGATTGGTTGGTTGATTGGTTAATTGATTGATTGAATTATTAATTGATTGATTGTTAGTGTCAAATAACTGAAATTAATAGTGTTTAGCTTCGTACAAGGTTGTTTTACGTAAAAATCCATTAGAATTTAAAAACATTGTTATAAAAGAATAAAAAATTAAAAGAGTTTGTAAAGTAAAGGAATAATGAATTGCTACATTCCTTTACATTCCTTTAGGCACGATTGGCCAGTACGAGTAAGTAAAGTACACCATCTCTGAGCCAGACCATATATTTATATATATATATATAAATAGGGTCGAGCCAATAGTTTGACTGAAATATGCCTTTCCAAAATAGTACACGAAATGGCGCCGCTGTAAACATATACACATGCAAAGTTAATAGATTTATTTATAATCATATTTAAACAATATATATTTATTAATTTGTTATTTACTCATTTAATGATGCATATAAATTAGAAAACAAATTTACTCTCTCATCTTCACTTATAAACTTCCTGCTGGGAAAAGTGCATGAGTGTTGTGTCTTTGCCACTTCGACACCACTGTTACAAAAATTTTGGGTGCGGTTCATCATGCAGCAGATGCTTATGATGGAAAGGCACATCTCTTTATATTGCTTTGGAATGTCGACGAGTGATGGGTTGATTGAAGGGCAGGTCTGCCTGTTGTATCTGTACAATGAGTTTCCTTTCTTACAACATTGGTCAGCAATAGCTGGCCAATCTCCTAAAATTTAATAAGGTTTTAGAAAGATTACGTTTTAAAATTGTTATATTAATTTATAGTTTAAAAAGTAAATTTGCTATGTTCAGCTCAACGTCGTTTAAAAAGTTAACCTCCTGAACAACCAACTACGTCCCAACTAATGACATAACTGTAAAGTAATTAAATTGTAAGGCATCTGAAAGTTCATGCAAATGTGTTAATCGGTTTAACGATGCACATCCTGGATGTCGAGATAATTAAGTGAGATGTCTCTCAACTTCATCTTACAACCATTACATGGTAGCGTTACTGACACAACCCCGCAATAACACACATACGCAAGCACGTACATATACATACATACACGTGAATATATATATATATATAATTATATATATATATATATACACGAATATTTATATGGCGCTAATTAGATAGTTTTTCAAAAGCACTTACAAATTAAATAATATACAAAATAGTCGAAGACAAACGTTCATCAAACAAATAATTCAAACATTAAATAAACATTAGATCAGTAAAAAATGAACATCAATGAGTGACACTACAGCGAAAATAAATATGTTTTCAACATCTTAAATTTCTCAACATCCAGATTATATATATATATATATATATATATATATATATTATTGATGAAAATCACAGCATGTTCGGCATTAATTTAACTTCCTATTTAACTTTTCTATTTTTCTAACGGTTGATCGTAAATCATTTTTAAGTTTCTTGAGTTCAAAACTAAAATTTTTGTTTATTTTATGCATGATAGAACAAAAAAGCTTTTTTCGGTCTTTCTATACTATCTTCGGTGATCGAATTGATACGTTGTGCCCAGATGCTCAAACATATATATATATACTGTGTCTCTACTCTACTTTGTTGATTCCTTGTTTTTTCAAAGTGAATACTTAACTCACATTTAATTAGCTTTACAACCTTCAACTTCGTTTAATATAACACTTTTACGTGTTTTCATTATCGATGATTCCTCTGCTTCTAAATTTATTGGTAGGAAAAATTCCAATTTCCCGTTGTTGAATATTTAATATCGGATGTCTTTCATGCATAAAATAAACAAAAATTATGGTTTTGAACTCAAGAAACTTGAAAATGATTTACGATCAACCGTTTGAAAAATCGAAAAGTTAAATCGGAAGTTAACTAATAGTGAACACGCTGTGATTTTTAATATATATATATATATATATATATATATATATATATATATAATTTAGGCATAGATATATGCATTAAATTATGGTCTTTTTTACCAGCATAAATATATAAATATATTTTTACAATATTCTATAAATTCTACCGAATGTTTTGCGTTCATATGTTTGTAGTTCGTTTTTTTTTCACTAAAGTTTTTTAGAGAACGTTTAGTTTATTAAAATTCGAAATAAACTTATTTTCCAAATTCATGCTGCAAATAAATATGAATTGCAACAATTACATCGTGTTGATTCAATTTCAAAGAAATTAATAAATGCAAAATGGGCAAACATATTCAACGAAATTTGTTTAAATGAAAACCTCGTTCCTATATATATATATATATATATATATATATATATATATATATATATATATATATACGTCTACGTCTGGTCTATGGCGGGTAATGATTTACCAATGGTTTACCAATAACACCTCTTGCGACACCTCAATTTGCGTTATTTGGTTACAATAATTAAGTTGTTTTATCTTTAGCCTTATTCGGCAGTCTACTGACGAATCTCGTGAGAGACGAAATGTATGTCTGGCCTACAATGTCTGCTTCAATTAAATTTTTCTTCAGGTTTTATATAGAGTCTGGTTCCATTACATAATTTAGGATAAGGAGTATTTAAGCTTAAGCAGCAACATTATTGGCGTAATGACTCTAACGTTGAATGTTGTTAAATGCCGACACGATAGCTCTATCGACAGACTTATTTCATACATTCAGTTGTTAATAAAATTAATTTTTTTAACTGGCTTGTTTTTTTAAGTTAGAATAGCTCTCTTCTTCAACCATGACAAACTGTTTGAGTCAACATATCAGTTAGAATAATCAAATGTCTAATAGTTTCCCAAAGTTCACTCAAATGGATTAGAAATTTATCGATATCCTCCCGCTTATTTTCGAACATAATCGGAAATAGTGATAAGTCGAGCTTTTGAGGTAAGATGCTTAAATTGTTTATTTATGCAAAAGTAATCAAGAAGATTAAAAATTTGTATTGCCCTGTTTTACCGCAAAGAATACTACAATACAGAGATGATTTCAAAATTGTAGAGTTGATGACTTTTTTTGCTAATTCTTGTAATTACAGTTATGGTGTGAGATGATTTTCAAAATTTTTATTTAAGGACTTTATTTTCAAATTTACGTTTTCTCTATTACTAAATTATAACCAGAATCTTCGATATCTCCTTTCATGAACCCCGGATCTTCCCTCTAGATCCACCATCGATGAAATCTTACAACGTTAGAACAGTTATTTATTAATCATTAAAATTAGATAAAATTTCACATTATAAATTGAAGATTTCAAATCTTAAATTTCAAAATTTTAATTTAAGTTTCACCCTATTTAGTAACATCAAATATCTTGAAACTTATAGGGCAAAAAATTTCGCGTTCTCCCATTGGTCGGGTACATTGGAACTTAAAAATAAATGAATACAAATGATTGACCCGTACAACTTTCAGTCTACTAAATAAACTTTCTTTCAAAAATGAATTATTACGACAAATTTCAATTCATTCGGGCGTTTAGTTTCTGAGATCTCGCGATGAGTCAGTCAGTAGTCAGTGTAAATCGCTCGTACATATACAATAGCTATTTTTATATAATTGAAATAAACACGCGTATTTTCGTTTACACCCTCACATACACAATGTGTGTATATATATTATATATATATATACATAATATATACACAATGTGTGTATATTATATATATATATATATATATATATATATATATATATATGAAGGTATTGCATTGGTTGCGGATTGATAAGAAAATTATTTTTAAATTATGTGTATTAATTAATAAGTCTTTGAATTGAATAATGTTGCACCACAAAATATGATCGATTTGTTT